AATTACCACCTAATTAATGTGTCTAATCTAAAAAGTGGTTTTCTCGCAATTTCTTTAATGCAATTCTTCGCGTAGTGGCTAAGCGCGACACCAGTGTTTCTTTCAGACTTTTTCCTCCCCGGAGAGGGGTGGGGGGTACTTGAAATTTTCGGTGGCGGGGGTAGAATTTTCGGGGAGGGGGTGGACACTGGAAAAAGTATATAATTATATTTCGTTGAATGGGACGGTAGACATGTATTTTTGGGGGGTGGGGGTGGGTGGGTGGGGGTGTGTGGGGGTGGGGGGGGGTGGGGGGTGGTGTGTGGGGTGGGTGGGGTGGGAGGTGTGGGGGTGGGGGGTGGTGTGTGTGGGGGGGTGGGGTGGTTTTAGTTTAGAGAAAAGAGACAGCACTATCAGCCTAGCGCCCGTTGTATCCTTCCTCAACGGGCCATTTTTTCTCGTTAATACTAATAGTTTCGCTGTCTGTCTATCTATCTGACAAGAAACGCTCTAGAGAAAACACAAGGAAATTAAAAACATGCATAGTATTTCGAAAAAACGAAGTATGACGTCGACACATTTAGCACAGAGTAGAAAATAATCTCAAACCGAGAGTAAACATTGAATAAAAAGGAAATTTTGTCTTATCTAAGTGGTTTGCGTGAAGAGTTTCTTTCATACAATTCTTCGGGTAGGGGCGAAGCCCCACCCCCGCGTAAGAACGTCTGAGCCGCCCCCCCCCCCCCCCCTCCCTAACTCAAAAGAAATTTCTTCATCGATACTCTATAATAAAATTACCGCCTAATTAATGTGTCTAATCTAAAAAGTGGTTTTCTTGCAATTTCTTTAATGCAATTATTCGGGTAGTGGCTATATATAAGCGCGACACCAGTGTTTCTTTCAGACTTTTTCCTCCCCGGAGCAGTGGCGTGCAGAGCTATGTTGCTGCCCGGGGCAAAACCAAAGGAAGATGCCCCCATAAATTGTATATATATATATATATATATATATATATATATATATACTATATATATATATATATATATATATATAAATTACGGTGTTTAAAGCGTTAGTAGCCCTACTATTGACGATAAATTATAACACACATTATGTTATTAATCAGAATACGAATAGAAAATCATTTTAAAAAATTGACTTAGCTGAACTCTTGAGAAGACTCCATGCATATATCCAAAAGAATGACTGACTCATTCGGGGAGGGAGAAAACAGTATGGGGACATGCCGGATGTTGGGGGGGGGGGGGGGAGGGGCTATATGCCAAGCCCAACAAAAGAATTTACAGTTTCCATTACCCTACCGGGGTCGGGCTGCGGTCACCGTTGAATTAAATTGGAAAAAAAACTAAAAGGTCAAAGTTCGCCATTGTTTATTGCTACGACTGAGGCCACGGTTGATGTTAGGCCTAGTAAGTTACCCCCCCCCCCCCCTCCCCATCTCGAACTTGAACAATGCTGTATTTTATAGAAACACATTGGTGGCACACCTCGTGTGCAGGGAAGAGAACCACGGTCGCGCCGGGTGATTGTTTGGTGGCTGGCGATGGGTTGATTGAGTGAGCCCTTCCCCCTCCCCCTCCACCCCCTTGTACCTGGTATGTAAATTTGGGATACCCTATTGTATTCTGACCAATGTAGGTGTATTTTTTTTTGGATGCCTGTACTAGTTACGGACCTAAAAAATGCTAGTCTTGTCTCGTACGTCGAAGTAGTCGGATACGTAGGAATAAAGCGTCTCGTCTTAACTCGATACATTGAGAAAATATCGATTCTAGTCATAGAGCACAGCGATTTCTGCTTGTGCGCATTGTCGATGTTTGATAGAATTTTAGTATCGCTAAACTTGGGGCCCGCACTTAATGGTCGGCTCTAGGCCCCAAGTATTCATATGCAAACCCTGTGTGGGAATTAATCCAGTAACGGCTACCAGGGTCGTTATAACTCCCACAATTCATTAAATCAACGTGGACTCTTTTACTTTACAGGTGGCTCTACTATTTATAACATCAGTTCTATTTAAGCGCCCATCTACTTTACAGATAACTTTACTTTGCATTAAAATACTTTAACACAACTTTTAGTATGCCCTACAATTGATAAAAAATAAAATGGGCACAATTGTTTGAAATGATATCACTACAATGTATATTAAAAATCTGTTGATGCTTATTCTTGAGGGTGTCCTTACAGTGTCTCAGAAACAATACGGACATTCTTATTCTTTAGTATATTCATATGCATCAAAACCGAATAAATTCTCTTGGGTGCCCCTACAAGTTATCTAAAAATAATACGGGCTTACTTCATCTGCAAATGCCCTTTTAATCACAAGCAAAAATAAAATAAATTATTCGAAAATCGCTCTAATGCAATAAAGTGGTTTAAATTGTTCGTTCAATGGCCAGTGGTTAGAATAAAAGTCATGCGTTTAGGTATATTATATAAAGAGACTGTGTTAGTAAGCACACAATTTTAGACAAATTACAATATCAACAAGCATTAGTGGTTAAAATTAAAACAAATAGGAAACCATTGACAGATTTGGACACTTTATATAATTAGTTCGAATTGTGGGAAAAACACCGTTTTCGGCTATAGAATCCAAGAGAAATGTCTCTCAAATGTAATAAGAACGCTCAGTAGTGTGGGGTTTAGGGGTGGGTGACAGTAGATGCTTTGGCTTTGGGGTGGGTGAAAGTTGGGGGGGGGGGGGAGGTGAAAGATCACGCAGACTGTGCATTTAAATATATGGCTATGGGATGGAACATCCCAAAAAAAAGTCTCCAGATTCGAGTACTACATTACTGGATCTCTGGCCGTGCCAATAGAGCGTCTAGGTATTACATTACCGGTCTTACAATAGAAGGTTTGTGCCTAAAGTGAGGGGGGGGGGGGGAAACAAGTGACAGCCAGCTACACCTTATTTATGTGTTTTTGGACAGTACGACCGGGCGGCCGCGAATGCCGGTAATTAAGAAGTGTGAGACTTAAGGACAACTTTAGAATGAAGTTAACTCGGCCCGGCCCAGTGTATCAAAACAGTACGGACTTAAAAGTTTGTATTTAACCGTACACAAAAATCCAAATGGCCATGAATAAAGAATATCATTAGAATAAGAAAAAACCAAGAGGATGTGCGCTTAATCAGTCTACGAATGCCGTTACGTCCATCAAAATGAATAAGGATGCCCTACAAACATTATGCAATGAATAGAAACATAATAAAGATGCCCGATAAAATATGAAGCGAAAAGGGCATAATTACTGTAGGGATGCCCTTCAGACATTCAATAATGAATATAAGCATAATAAATATCCGATAATATATAAACGAATATGGGCATAATTGCTGTAATTATATAAATACAAACGTGAATACAAGTAAATTACTTTAAAGTTGCCCTGACGATATATAAAATGAATGCGGGCATAATTACTGTTTGGATGCCCTTCAAAAGTATTATGATGAATATAAGCAAATTACATTAAAGATGCCCCTACAGTGTGTAAATTATAATCATGGGCTTTAATACTCTATGGATGACCACAAAGTATAAAATGATTATGGGCGTGTTCTCTAAAAGATGCCCCTACAGTGTGTAAATTATAATCATGGGCTTTAATACTCAATGGATGACCACAAGTGTATAAATTGATTATGGGCGTGTTCTCTAAAAGATGCCCCTACAGTGTGTAAATTATAATCATGTGCTTTAATACTCTATGGATGACCACAAGTGTATCAAATGATTATGGGCGTGTTCTCTAAAAGATGCCCCTACCGTGTGTAAATTATAATCATGGGCTTTAATACTCTATGGATGACCACAAGTGTATAAAATGATTATGGGCGTGTTCTCTAAAAGATGCCCCTACCTACACAAGTATCAGATACTCTATTAATTCAAAGACTGCATATATTTATTCGGGGAATATCAATGACTACTACACCACTACCCTTCACCGATGCCCCTTTCTCCCTGAAGGTTGTACGACACGGACAGTACGATGACTATATCAGTGCCATGTGTTGATTGTATATACACATTTCGGTGAATTCGGCAAATTGTGATAATTTGATAATTCTGCCTAGGTAGACAAACCTTAGTAGACATTTAGCTTTCCTAAAAAAAAAAAAAAAAAAAAAAAAAAAAAAAAAAAAAAAAATTAAAATTTAAAAATTAAAATAAAAAAAAACATTTTTTTTACCCCCTTTGGATGCCCCTTTGATGTGGCTGCCCGGGGCCTGGGCCCCCTCCGCCCCCCCCCCCTCTGCACGCCACTGCCCCGGAGAGGGGTGGGGGTACTTGAAATTTTCGGGGGCGGGGGTAGAATTTTCTGGGAGGGGGCGGACACTGGAAAAAGTATATAATTATATTTCGTTGAATGGGACGGTAGACATGTTTTTTTTTTGGGGGGGGGGGGGGGTGTGGGGGGGTGGTGGTTTTAGTTTAGAGAAAAGAGACAGCACTATCAGCCTAGCGCCCGTTGTATCCTTCCTCAACGGGCCATTTTTCTCGTATATATATATATATATATATATATATATATATATATATATATATATATATATATATATATATATATATATAGATAATTGTTATTAATCAATCACCGAATTCCGAGTGGATACATCACTTCAATTATAGTATTTGCTTCCGAAGATCTGGGCTTAGTGCCTGTTTTAAAAAAAAAATTAATAAATAATTGAACATCAGTTTAAAAAATAAAATAAGCTTCGTTCACGAAAAAGGATTGTCATGCACACGTTGGATAATGCAATAAATTAAATGTGCTAACTGGCAATGCAAAATTGCAACATAGAACTTAGAACTTTGCCTAGCCTGCAGCTCACACTATCAACTAGGCTAGCTAATCATTGGTTAGACTGGCCGTGGAATCCCCCATCAGAGTTTCCCATAATGCTTCTCTGTATGATGAGTGGTTAAAAAAAGTTGATTTAGGCTATAGATCTATTTTTGGAACAGAGTGCAGTGGGCGGTTACCATTGCCATCCATTGCTCCTATTCTACCGAATGTTGACTCATTCATAGGATTTTCTAAAACACTTTGACCAGACTAAAATTAGTTTAGAAATGAATAATAAAGCACTTGGGTCTAGATCTACATGTTAACAGTTCTTATTTCAGTAAGTTTATGTTTCCACGTGTTCATACTACTACTAGATCTACTACTAGATCTATTAACTAATATAACTATTAATTAGTATTAATAACTAGAGTCTAGAATAGAATCTATAAATCTATAATCTATAGGCCTACTATTATTACTAGATCTATTATTTATTATCTTTTATTTTTTATCTATCTCTAATCTAGATCTAGATCTCTTTCTTTTATATTATTATACTATAACACGTAAAATAAAATAAGTGTTTTTATTAGGCCTAGGCTAATATTTAGGCCTAATATTATTATTACTATATTAGTTAGGGCCCCCTATTATTATTAGGATTAGGCCTATTAATAAATTAATATGCCTAATCCAATATTTAATATTAGGCATTAGTCTCAGTGTACTTTGCGTGTACTTTTACAGAGTGACTAATTCAGAAACTGACTCAACCGAGAAGCACCACAGTAACTAATAGTCAAGTTAACAAATAACAACAGTAGTGCTAGCTAGAGTACATAGGCCTATAGAATCTACTATTGATTACTATATAGTACAGTACTATAACTATAGTATAGTGTGTAAATTTTAGTTTAGTGTAATACTAGCAAGACAAGCTAAGTAAGAGTGTTATTATTAATTATTAACTTAGTTAGACGTAGTCTTAGTAGACTATAACTATTAGTTTACTAAAGACTGTAAACAGACTGACAGAGTATTGTGTAAACTTAAATTAAAGGCCTAATTGTACTGAAATAACTAAAAGATTTAAGAATAACATAGGGCCCGATAATCTAGAATCTAGATTATTCTAGTTCTAATTAGTAATTAAATGTAAATCTTGTAGGCCTAACTAATCTGTTTTCTAAATCAAATGTATGTAGCCCATGTAGGCCTATAATTTATTTTGTATTGAGGCCAATTATTAGAGAGCCAAAAATACAACAACAAAATGTAAAAAGAAAAGTTTCTTTATTCCAAAAGAATTTTTTGTGTGCACCCTACTCAAAGTATATAGAAAAGTAAATAAAAAATACACTTTATGAACTGTAGTCTGAGAGATAGGCAAACGAACACACTACTTTCATGAAATAGTCAAATAGGGGGCCCATATTCTTGTAAAACAGTCCTTCATAAGTTCATAAAGTTCAATAATTATTATAATAGGTCCAAAACACTTTTAAATTGTCAAATACGTTGTGATTAACCAGCATTGCCGTACTTTGTGGGTGGAATCAACCTGTATACATTTATATCCACACTTATACATTTATATAGAAAAAAACAATACAGAACCAAAAAAAAAGTGTAGTAGTGATTGCTGAATTTGTCTTTTATTTCAGTAAGTTTGTGTTTGGGTAGCTATTTGGAACACTGTGACAGCAACATTTCAGTTGTCGGATCGGATCTTCTGGGATGTTTCTGGGTGGGGAAGGGAGGACATAAATCACCTAAAGTAGTGTCACATGATCAGTTACGGACGATCCCTAATGTTCTCATCTTTTATATTATATTGGCCAGCTTTAAGTATAATGTTTTTGTCACTGAATGACTTATTTTTACAGTTGGATCCTATTCCTTATGTTTGCTGTGAAAATTTGCTTTGTAATCTTCAAATGCATGGACCATAAAATGTATGGCAGCATGGTTCAACCCGCTTTACTATTTGTGCTTTGGCTAAAAATATTCTTGTGGATGGCAAAAGCACTAATATTGTAATGCTATATAACTTTATCGTTGGCTATCTTTTCATTTTGAACAGACTCTTTGCAAAGATCATGTTTCTGCATTACATGCACATAAAGATCTTGATGTTATATTTATCTGGTTTGGTTTTGTATTACAGAACACCTTTCACGAAATATTTTGAGGAACATTGTGCCAGCTGAGAAAGTTTTCCAAAGTTCTGTAATTAAAATTAAAATTTAATTGCCTTTATTTTCCTTTTTCTCAATCATTGGATCGTAAGTGTTCATGGCATAAATAATTTCATCGAAGAGCAAACAAGTCTATTTTGTGTTGGTTGTGATGTTTTTGGTCAATGTCCTTGAATGATCCCCAACAGTTCAACTTATAAAAGACCAAAACAACAAGAATAATGCCCCTTAATTTTCTGGTTATTTTAGCAGTTATACATAGAATTTTAAAAGTTTTATTTTTTCTTGTACCTGATGTTTTCTACCCAAATCGTACTTAAAGGGGGTAGTGATTTTTAACTGCTCATTAAAATTTAAGTCAGTTAAAACTGCTTTTTCCTTGTCCTTATAGTAGACTGGGTAGATGAGACATGTATGATGATCCCATATATCTAAACAAATAGTGTGCCTAGGGCAGACATTTTATAATGAAATTGGGTGGATGACACCCATAATAGACAGTGAAGGTTAAATTGGGTCAAGCATCATGATTGAAACTATACTTTTTATTCAACCAGCCAAATTAGAAAAAAATATTGCTTGCTTTCATTTTAAAAGTAATGAAATGTAATTAAATTATTTTCTTATAGAAATTGGTGTAGAGGAAATTGCTAAAAAGGTCCATTATCAACAACAAAAATTAAAAATGTTGAACATCACAGAAAAGGCTGATGAACTTTACAGTTCTTACAAAATACAAGAACTTTATGATTATCTTCATGAACATAAAGGTAAACACATGATCACTTTTTATTTTGAGTAGTATTTCGGAAAATACCAATTCAGTTTAAGCTTGCTTAATAAAAACTAAAATAAATATACAAGAGTACATATTTTATCTACAGAGGTTTTAAATGATGAAATTCAGTGGCGCCTAGCAAGAGTTACCCATGACAGAGCTAAGCATGAAAAGGACAAGCATAAAAGGCACAACAGTATGCTTGAAGCTTTTTCTTATGCTGAAAAAGCTCTTCAGCTGAATTCAAATAGCCCACATTGTCATAGGGTAAGTTGATACTGTTTTTGTTATAAACAATGGGTTAAGCTTACTACAAATTGTTATATATTGTTGAATTTTTGTGTGTTAAAGTCTATTTTCAACTATTTAGTGGTATGGTGCTTTACTACATTTTACAACAGAAGGAATTGGACTAAAAAACAAGATACATACAGCTTACAAAGTCAGGGAACATTTTGATGTAAGTTTTAATTGTTTTTCAAAAGAACTGACTAAAATTAATTTGCTGATATGGGATAAAGTATTTAAAAATAAACTAATTCTTTTCATTCTTAATCAACATGAAAAGGATGTAACATACTTTTACTCAATTTATTTAATAATAAATGAACCTTTTTATGTTAAATGTCTATTGGCATAACACTTTCGATTTGTTACAAGCTTGTTATTGGTAAAACACAAATTTAACACATTCAATCTGATTGATTGTAGAAAGCCCTTGAGCTAGACCCTGAAGATGCAATTTCTCTACACTCTATTGGATATTGGTGCTTTGTTTTTGCTGAACGACCCTGGTACCAAAGAAAAATAGCATCAGCGCTGTTTGAAGCATTGCCAGAAACTACATATGATGAGGTATTAATGTATATTTAAGCTTCTTAAAATTGTTGTGTGATTGAGTGGCAAAGTGTTCAACTGCTATCCAAAAGTCTTGAGTTTGGATCCTGACAACACTATCCCTTCTATTTCACCTGCCCCATGGACCATAATGTTAAAATAAGTTTATTTTTTAACCTGATGATCCATGGGGCAAGTGAATTAGACTTCACCTGTTTCTCTGACCTCGGCATATGAAAGGGATAGTGTGGTCAGCACTGTTCCCAGTCGCCTTTAGTTTCTGTAATTTCAAGTAGGTACCCATTCAAGTAATGTTCTACTGACCTAAACCAGGATTCAAACTATAGACTTTTGGATTAGCAGTCTTGCGCTCCACTGCTAGGCCATGCCGTCCCTTTAAGGTTTGAAAGGGTACTTTCTAATTGTTATTTAATTGCAAATAGCACTATGTATTTTTCATTATTGTTCTATGATATACATTTCTTTTCTTTGAAAGGCACTTGAATGGTTTTTGAAAGCAGAGAAAAGTAAGTTTAATTTTTATATAATCATACTTTAGAAATACAGACATTTTTTATATTTTAATTTCTGATATTGTATCCCTTGGTGACTTTCTGTTTATGCAGGTGTTTGGAAGCACTTAAATTCTGCAATAGATTTGTAGTGAGAATAAGTGAACTATTTTAATGTTATTAGTATTTATGAAATTGTTTAACGAAAGAACAGTTTGTTATTTAATTTTTATAATATTTGTAATTCTTAACTGAAAAAAAAAATTAAAGGATATTAGCTAACATAATGTTTTAAAAAAGTCTTTACTTTTTATACAGTAAAGGAAAATTTTATGTGCACAAATATTCTCATGATTGGTAAAACTTACATGAGATTGCATAACAAGGAAAAAGCTGTTGAATTCTTGCAAAAGACACTTGAATTTAAAATAATGACTCCAGATGATGAACAGGTATGATTTTCTATCAAGTTGCTTTGCTGTTGATTGAGCAATCTGCTTTATTACATCCAAATTAGTTATAATTTAGTAATTTTTATTTTCAAAAAAAAGTATAACAGCTTTCTTTATTAGATGAACACTAGTCGATTTTTTAAATTTGTAATTCTGAAATAATGCTTTTTGGTATTAAATATAAGTTAAATTTTTCAATTTAATTTTTTTTTTAAAGCCACCTAGCTTGGTTATTTTTTATGTTGTTCTTCAAGCTCCATTTCAATTTCACAATAATGATTTGTTTAAAAATTAATTAGAACCCTTTGATAGTTGAAAATTTGTATATAGCATGGCGTCTGAAATAATCTTTACATTTTTAAGCTAGAAATTTGTTTTGAGAGGTTAAAATAACTAATGTTTTTTTTTTATTAATTTCCTTTTTGCTTTATTTCACAGTCACACAAAGAAGCTGAAGAGATGTTGAAACATTTGGGACATGGCCATCTGCTAAAAAGCTGTCTCCATGTTGATGCAAGTTAACAAAACATAACAAGACATTATAATGTTGCTTTAAATTTATTTTATATCAATTAATTTATTTCAGATGCTTGGCAGACTTATCAGTTTTGCCAATTTTTTAAAAGACCAATATGCTAGCATATTTTTATTATACCGGTAATGTATAGTTTTATCTAGTAATTTATTATGTATTAATTTTAAAAATATTTGATGCGCTTTACAGTGACAGTCGAGTCAGTAATAGTATAATGGCATTGAGGTCAACAAAAAATGATCTTGGGTACCATTGAACTGTGGAAAAACTGATGTTAAGTACCATACTCAATAAATATACTCCAACTGTAAATATATATAGCAAACTGTTACTTAATAGTTTTTGATTGAACTAAGTTGTAAAATACTCAACTTTGTCAATGATTTTTTTCACAAACATTGACCCTTTGATATATAAAACCTCTAAATTATTAAAACTAGTCAACAACAAATTATTGAAAACAAAAAACTTAATATAGTATAGCTTTTTAAACAACAATTTTTTCAAATGTATATAGTAAACTTTAAGAAACACTTGATGGGTTAAAAAACTAATTTAGTTTTTAAAAACAACTAAAATACTGTTAAAGTTTTGTTTGTCCTAATTTATTTTTACCAAAAGTCAGCTATTGGTTGTTTTATTGTGATATTTGGATGTATTCTCTGTTAACATTCATAACTAATCTAGTAGATTTTGTTCTTATTTTTCATGCTAAATCATGCATATTTATACAAAGAAAGAAGTCAGATTTTAAAAACATTATTGCTTTAATACTATACATTCTCTGGAGAAAAATGTTTTCAAGCTTTTTTTTGCATGATCTAAGTTGTCACGATCTCAAGCATATTTAATCTGAACACAAAATGTTTCTTTTACAGGGTGTTAAATAATAATTTATTTTAATTATTTCACAGTCAAATATTATTTAATTTAAATGAATAATGTTCATAACAGTACAGGTATTCTACTATTTTGCTTCACCAAACTAACTAAAAAAAATTTTATTTGTTTATTTTCACTGGTTTACTGAAGGGTCGTTCATCATTACATCATATCCTTAGGGGGGGGGGGGGGGTGTTATGTTTGGAGACAGTGTGTGGAGGGGTTGCATTTTAAAAAGTAATGCTATTTCACGTGATTAAAATTTTATAGAAATTATATGTAGTATGCTTTATGTTGACCAAGGTCAGTCAATATCTTAAAAAGAAATCAATGTTAAAAAAAAATGTAAATGCAATTTTGAGGGGGTGGGGGGGGGGGGTTTGTAAGCTGAGGTGTGATGTCATTTTACAGGGTGGGGGTTGTCTGGATTATGTAGGGGGGGGGGATGTAAAAATCATCCAAAAAAGTTTGACATAATATAGGAACGACCCCTGATAGAAATAAGGTAAAATCTATAAAATTTTGATCCTTTCTGTTTATTATTACAATTTTAACTTTTAGTAACTTTTACCAAGTGGAAATGCTTTGCTTTTGTTCAGACAATTTCACTTTTCGTTCTTATATATTTGTTTTAATTAAAATGATGTTTAGTTTTATTCAGGTTCAAGAGATCTGATTTTAAAATTAATTTGATCTGTTGTACTTTTTGTATTCTTTTTGTTCGTGAATTTAAAAGAACTTATAAAATAAGAAACTATGAAATATGTTACATTCCTAGTGCACATAAACTAAACAAAAACCTTCAAAATCTAAGCTTAAATATAAGGTTTTATTAAAAATATAGCTTGAATCAATACATTTTATGTTTACATAATTTTACTTTTTTAAAAGCGTTTTAACATGAATTGTACAATCTGTAGATAGTAAATTAGGACACACATTTGTATAGTATTCATGAAATCAATGGAACACTGCAACTTTGATGAAATAACTAAGACATAGTTGTTTGTGAAGATTGAATGTATAAAATGTAATAGATTTTACATTTAAAATATAATAGAAAGCAAATTAACATACAGAAAACAGTCTTGCTTATTTTTTCAGCTATTTAGACTTATTTTTACATTGTACAATTTTTTTTTAATTTGTTTTTTTTTTTTTAAATTTTTATTTTAATTGAATTTTAACTTCTTCGTGAGTTATACATATACAGCAAAATATATAAAATGAAGATACTAAAAACTTGGTGTGATAAAAAACAATAGCCAAAAGAATATGCACAGCATATTTGTAAACTTGAACAAAAATTGTCAGTGCCCCCACCGCCTGTGCAAATATTTTTTGGCTTTAGCTACCTATTTTGTCACAAAGAGTTAAATGTTCTTTATAAAATCCAAAGAATGTTTACAATAAGATTTATTTGTCACATTAACTATTTTTTAATTAAAAAAAAAAGCTAAAAATAATATGGACATGTTCTTAAATTGTTTTGTGTTATCTGTGGTTTGCCACCAGCTAAGGACTTGAAGTTGGTGAATGTGTAATTGTTTAAAACCTGCTTCCTAATTTTTCATGTTTCATATGTGTTTCATTATCTTTTATCAACGTATTTCTGTCTAAATAAAATTACGTAATTGTTAAATAATAATCTGAACAAAAACAGCTTTTTTTTAAAAATTCTAAAGCAAATAATATTTAAAACTGCATTTATCATTTTTACTTTTACCACTGTCATTGACAATACTCATTTTTAGTTCAGTAATGAAAACCAGTTGTAAAAATAATCAGCCTACAAGGCTGTATAAAATATAAACACAATGTATTGATAACACATTTAGTATTTATTGTGGTAAATGTTTTCATTTAATTATTGTTCTTTTAAATCTTAAACTACTTAAATTATAAGATTTTTATTTTTAAGTTCAAATATTTTTCAAAATATTTTAAAGCAGCAAAGAATGAGATTTTATAGCAATTATTGTTAAGACATTTCTTTAAGAAATTTTATTTTTATGAATTACTTGATGAAGGCTTAAGTTGTTTTCATGTAATGTGAAAAATCTACGTATATTTTAATTTTCTACATTTTAAATGTTTTCATAAACTGCTATTGTCATCAAGTACATTAGATTTAATATTACTATTATGCGGAAACTTTATTGAAATTGTATTAATCAAGCATGCAATTAGTACTTTACTAGCTTTTAAATATTATTATTATAATGTTGTATTTTTTTATTATTATGAAATGTTTTAAGCTTTAAATGTTTTACTAATGTTAACTTGAAATAGTTATGAAATAGAAAATATTGAACATGGCATTTGCCAGTCATAGATTCATTTAGATAAATGATTAAGAAATGTAGTTGTTTTAAAAAAAAATCCTTGATATAAAAGCAAAATCATTTCTTTATATCATGCTAAAAATTAATGTAAAGGGACTCATTTTTAGATCTGAATATCAGTGAAACTTGTGCAAAAGAATCCACGTTTTTGTTTGGGTCATTTTTCACTTGTTTCGTAATAAAACTTTTTTTGGTAAACCCTGGAATAAAGCATTTGTGTTCTTTAAACCCTGATTAAGATGGCAACTGAATGTACACTTTAGTATACTGATAAGTTTTAGAGTTAAAATGTACATATTAAGTGTTAAAAATGTGCTCAGATTACTCACTAAATTCAATTAAATGTCCTTTCAAGAAAATATTAGCTATTTTAATCTTTAAATGAGGTTTTTGTATTTAAAGATATCAATCTTTGCAACTTTTGGATTAAAGAACTATTTTATTAATTGCATTTAATTTCACCTACAGCTGAACAATTTAAAAAACTATTATTCCTGTTGTAATTTTACATTTGGTGTAATAGATCCCCACCGTAGAGTTTGTTTATTAATGTACAGCTAAGTGTACTGTAATTCTAACACCATGTTTTGAGCACTGTGATAATTATTATTCTATCAGTATTAAGTGAGTGTTAGTCAACTGTTTTAACAGCCAATCTTTTTAATGTAAAAGACATTGAAATAATTGTGTTTTCTGTAATGTAAAAAATATGTGTTACCAGTAATTGAATGTTTAATTAAAGTTGTGGTGTATGGTGAAGGAAACATTACTATTTATTTAGTAGATGTGGTGGAGGTGTATGTCTTTTCTGCTCATTGAAGTTATGTATGTAGCACTAGAAGATTACCTTTTCCAGCACTAATAAACAGTTCTTCTCCTCTCCCACATGAATTAAGAACTTTTATCCTTTGGTAATTTACAATTGTCATTGTTATATATAGCTCTAAAGTGAAATGACTTAAAAAAGGAATTAAATGAGTTTGGTTTTTTGAATTTTAAAACTTAAAAATTTTGCACTGAAGTGGATTGAAACCTTTGAAAAAATTGCTTTTTTTGCCAGGCTTGGAAATTCAGCACTAAAATGTTTTTTTTTCTGCTTTTTAGAGCATTTAGTGTGTACCAGTAACATACATGTGTACCTACATACATGTTAAATTGGCATTTAATGTAAAGATTGTTCTTGATAGCTTTGTATTCAGTATACTTGTTTAATGCCTTCAATAAACTGGTTGTCTTCCTGTACAAGCAACACTAACCATTCAAGCCTTTGAGTTGGTTGTTTGAATTCTTTCAAAACATAAACATTTTTTATACCCATAAAATTCAACTTACAATGATCAACATGGTTGATGTGATACTGTTTTGATTTTCTACTGTATCTTTTTTTTTTATTTTCTGGGCAACGAAACAATTATTTTAAGCTGAATTCCATAGTGGTTTTTCAATAATCATGAGCTGGTCCATTATTGTATTTACTTAGACCAGAAACCAAAAACCCTTGTTTAGAAAAAAGTTTTGGAAGTAAACTTGATAATTCATCTGTCTGTTAACTAATCTATAACGTTAAACATAAATATGTCTTAACATCAAACTTAGACTTAGCTCAACAAAATGGCTAGCCAAAGTACACTAAAGTTTTTAGTCTTATCTCAAATTGACCTTATTTTAAACCTGGCAAATTTCATCAATTGAATGCTACTTGCAAATTTTATATGAAAAATACTACTGACAAATTTCATACCTTGATACTTGGCAAATTTCTTACCTTAAACTACTGGTAAATTTTACAACTTGAATGCTACTGTCACATTTAATTTTTGGTGACATTGTACATTAATTAGGTAATATTTGATATAGATCTTATGTTAATGCTGTCACAATAACATTGCTGAGTGCCTCAGAAATGTTAAAATATATTTCTAAAGGGTATAATATTCACAGACTTAAAACTATTCAATGTTTGTTACACATTAGAAACAACTCTAATCACATCACTAATTGTCACATTTTGTGTAAGATGCTTAGAAAAATTTCAGAATAAAAACATTTTATTAATGCGATAACAATTGCTCAGCAAGGTGTGCAATTGGTTTCTTTGCTATGGTCTGATAGGATTCCCCCCCCCCCCACCTACTTTTATACAATAGTAATCATAGATCAAAACATCAATCCTGACTGCTCTTTTTTTTCAACACTTCAAATTACCTACAAGGACTAGAAGAATCTTTGGTCTTCCAAGCAGTGAGTGAGCCATTGAGGAACTAACATAATTTGCAAAAAGCCATCCAGAGACAAGATAAAGAAAACCATCAACATAAAGAAGAATGAAAAGGTAGCTGTACCCAATGATATCAAAGAACAGGCCCTTAATAATAGCTAATAATATACCTTAAGATTGCACTTAGGATTCAAATGGAGGTTTCTTTGGAATGTTCGAATTCTGGAAAGTCTGTAAGATGACCAGGCAACTAGGTTTACTACTTCCTGCAACAAAAACCAGAGTGCATGTAGGCTACATTTATTTAAAATTTATGTCTTTCTATAGGAAGGACAAAAAGATCTCAACGACCAGGTGCCAGTGTTTATTTCTGGCATAGAAAAATAAATATTTAATCAGCCCCCCCCCCCCCCCCCCGAGAAAAAAAATACCAAAGGAAACATTGCCAGGAGCACATTTGAAGATAACCCGGCTGAAGATCTTAACATAAACGGATGAGCCTTAAGCGATAAATGGGAGAAAAAAACAGAAAAAGTAGAGCTTGGTAGCACACTGTACAGCATTCTGACATCTTTAATCAAACATGCTTAGTTGTTTGTTGCCATCGATCTTTGGAGTGCCACTGTAGTTAAATGATTCAAATTTCAATTATACTTTCATTCACGATACAGACTGATCTACCTAGGAGAAATTTTAGTGTTTCTCTTAGAAACAGAAACCTATTAGAACAATGTACCCTTCATTCATTTATAATATAAGTTACTGTATAGTTTGTTTCACATGGTTGAGTTACACCT